GTCATGTTGATTCTTCTACTTTCTTCTGTTTGGTTTTTAAATTATTTAACAAAACTAACATTGGATATATTTAGATATGTGGGTTTTCCATTTTATTTATTTTTTAAATATCTATGGTTCTTTCTTTCTTTCTTTCGTTTTTTTTTCGCAATATTTAGATGTTGGTTTCGATTGGAATGATAACAAATTTTTTTTTTGTCCAGTTCTTTCTGTCAGCTTTTTCACTTAGATTTTTGATGTAAAAAATCTTTTATTTATTTCTTTAACTCACCTTCTGTTGTGCTTTACTTCTTTTTTCTTTTCTTTCTTAGTTTGGTGAAAATTGAAAATAACCTGTTAAATTTCATTCTTTTCTTTCCATTTTCTCATTAAATTTAAATTTGTCATGTTGATTCTTCTACTTTCTTCTGTTTGGTTTTTAAAGTAACAAATCTTTAATTGATTTCTTTGTTACTCAGATGTATATATTTGTGTGAATTATCAATGAAGTTGAGTCATTACCAGTCAAATGTCTTATTTGTTTACATTTTGCCCTTTCAATATTACTCCTAATCAAATTTTTTTTTATCTTTCTTTGATATTGTTTGTGAAACATTGTGTTCAATTAAATTACTGGCTTCAAATGCAGTATGGAACTAGTTTCCTATGGTTGGAAATCTGTTAATGAACTTTTTGTAAGTTTTATGTTATGCTTGTATTTGCAATTTATATTTCATTTAATGAACTTGTTATAGGTTTTGTGTTATGCTTGTATTTGCAATTTATATTTCATTTTGTTCATATAGAGAATAAAATTTATTGTAATTATTGATTTTGCAGTAACAACAGCTACGAATGCAAAGGAGGCCCTTGATATGTTAAAAAAAAACAGGTTTGACCTGTTGATCACTGGTCTGCATATGGCTGAAATGGATGGACTGACGCTGCTTAAGATAACACGACTTTTTACGGACGTACCTGTTATATGTATGTGATAGTTTTATATGTGATCTTCAACTGTTCTTATTATTATTTTTTTCAATTGTTGAGGTTTTGATTTTTGGTTTTCTTTTTGTATAATTTAATTACTTTTTATTTACTTCATCACTATCAATTATTAAATTTTTCATTTCAGTGTCGTCCGTAGATAGCAACAGAAAGCTGGTTACGAAAGCAATCAGTCTGGGAGCGTCAGATTATTTAGTTAAACCCCTTAGAATGGAAGAGCTGCGAAATGTTTGGCAGCATGTATTTAGAAAGAAGATGAACTCTACTAAGAAGAAGGAAGATGAGGATGAAGCTGAGAAGATGGAAGAAGATGAGGATGAAGCTGAGAAGATGGAAGAAGATGAGGATGAAGCTGAGAAGATGGATGAAGATGAGGATGAAGCTGAGAAGATGGAAGAAGATGATGATGAAGCTGAGAAGATGGAAGAAGATGAGGATGAAGTTTATGAAGAACTTGAGAAAGGTCTTAACCAAGAGGACCGATCAACCCAAAAGCAGTCTCGGGTTGTTTGGACCGAAGAGCTACATCGGTGTTTTGTGGCCGCTGTTAATGACTTGGGTGTTGACAGTAAGTTATTCACTCTTTCTCTACAATGCAAAGTAGTTGTTATCTTAATTGTTATTAATTGCTACAATTGGTCAATCAATTGATGTTTCTGCTTTATTTTAGCAATACTTTTATTATATATTTGTGTAGAAATAGCAATCAAATCCTAATAATATTGCAATGTGAAAACTAGTTCCATCACCTCTCTTTGCAAACTTTATTTCCACATGTGTCTTCACATCCACTGCCCAGAATCCAACCATAATTTTTTGAACATCTGTCTCAGCCCCTGTTGGATATATAATTTCTGTCATAATATTGGAATCTGCACCAAAATAAAAAATGGCTTCTCCGTTGTTAATACCAGTGTGCATTTCCAAATAACAAACAAATCCACTGCCCATGTATTCCTCTATTTCAGTAATCCTTTCCTTGGAGTAAGCTAATATACTTATTTGGTATCTCTCGAAAACTGAACAAATCAAAATTCAAATTTTCCTTAATTCGATCATGATTAATTTGGTCTCTTGAGAGCTGGAAGCTGCCCAATTGGTCCCATTTGTCATGAAGTCCCAACTGTGTCTTCCATTCCCTGCCAAAAATGGAACAATGATGCCTTTTTCCATTCCTGTGAAAACTCTGGTTTTTTTTTTGTATTGCAAAAGTATATGTTTGTTGTATTTTTCCAATTGCTGTATTTTTTTGTTCAACATTATTTTGAATGCTTTCTCAAATACTCTTCCTAATCTGTAGTGCACTGGAGTAGATGTCATGGCATTATTGTTAATGAAGTCTGACACATTTGTATGTTCTTTTGATTGCAGAGGTTGTACCTAGAAAAATTCTTCAATTGATGAAGGCTGAGAAGCATCTTACTAGGGCGCATGTGGCCAGCCATCTGCAGGTATTTTTTTTTCTTTTCCTTTCTGCTTTAATTTCATAAAACCAAAGTTTTTCATTTATAGAACTTTATTTGTTTTTTTAATTGCTGCAGAAATATAGACTTCGACTGAAAAGAATCAGGTCTAAGGCAACCCAGCAAGTCAGTCCTTTTAAATATCCTCTTCATCTGGTGAGATGATTAGTCCTAGGCAAACAAGTAATATTGTGCCATTTCAGGGGTTGGCTGACCAAAGCCAGGATGGCAGTTATGCTTCACATCTTACCAATTTAAGCTCAATAGACTCAATCTTAAATGAAGACTTGGACTTGGACTTTGATTCTGACTTTGATCTTTATGATCCTACACAAATGATTGACTCTGATTATTACACAAATGATTGACTCGGATTATTTGTTGTCTATGTAGTTGATAACACCAATTATTTGTTGTCTATGTAGTTGTAAATGGGATTCAAATTTAATTCTTTGGCTTCCCAGATTTGTTCTCTACTGAGATTGACCTCCATTCATTTGTATTTTCTTTGAGTTTGTATAACCAACAAGTCACGTAACCATGCATTCTTTCTATTTTTATACTTTTATTTTCACTATTGTTCTTGTTGGGTTAATAATTAGTCTGATCAACATCGACATTTTTTGTGAATGATTGAACAAGATTATTTGTAAAGACTGATGAGTCTAATGTGGATGGAAAATTTAGCTTTCTAAAATTTTTGTGAATGATACCGAAGTGTCAATTACTAGTATAAATGTCCATAGATTATTTAATATGTTAATGTTTTTGAGTTATATAAGAGGAGTAGATAACTCTTTGGATCATATAGCCTCAAATTATGATTGAGCAGGGTTACATAAAAGGGACAAGAGTAAAGGGGGTAAAATTGTTATATTTACATGTTTCAGCAAGTGCTTACAGTGGTACCTACATGTAATTGACCTATGAAGGAGCATCAACATGAATCAAACTCACGACGATTTAGTAAAAATTATCAACAAGAGTTGTTATATTTTTTGAAAAGGAGTAATTATTCTACCTAATTGATAAAAATATATATGACGTAAGAAGATGACAAATATATATGATACGTGGACTTGTATAGAGATGACACTAGTCCACTACCATATTCTGAAACATAAATGTCTTAATAATATATATATATATATATATATATATATATATATATATATATATATATAATAAAAGTGGAGAAAATTCTAGATATTTCTGCTCGCTTAAAGATCTAGATTATTGAATAACTGTTGTTTCAAATCCATGATCTGTTTGGTGGAAAGAGAGAAAATATATTTATTTAATCATATGCATTTCTCAAAATTATAAGGTTGTCTATTTGTTTTTTTAGTCATCTTTTTTAAATTTTAAAGGGAAAATATTTAGTTACCAAAAAAAAAAGGGGGAAATATTTATTATTTTAAAGGACATAATTTTATATTATTCTAAATAAAATTATATCGTTTTAATATATGTTTAATGATTTTTAATATTTTCTTTCCTCTGTATAATTAGAAGCAGAGAAACCTAAAATAAAAGTCATCTAATTTAAAATGACAATTAATTGTTTACAAAAAAAAATGACAATTAATTTTTCCAATTTAAAATGTGTAAATTTTATAAAAGGGTATATTCTCAAAATCACTAGCAATGATAAAAGTGTTTTCTGATCACACTTTATGGTTTTTATGGAGATAAAAAATAAAATCAAATCTAAAAATATTTTTATTATAAAACATGATACACAACCTATTTTGTTCAAGCTCACCATTTAGATATGCGAAAATTCTTGTACATACATTTTGTATTATAATTATGCACTAAATTAATCAGAATACATTGTAATATTTTAAATTTTGGATCCTTTCTTTAGTAATGGTTAAACAAAGGAATACTAGCATTTTTATTTTATTTTATGTATACTAGCATTTTTTTGTTAATACATTATTGATATTGCCCTTGTAAAAATTGTGTTTTAACTTTGAGTAATGTATTGCCTTTGTTTTTTTTTTTTGGATATATCGGTCAATTTTATCCAAAAAGATACTCCTATACATCCTTGAAATAGAAGAACTTGTTCCCCATTTAGCTGCCTTAAAGAAAAAATCTAAATCGGTGTTTATAGAAATAAAATGGGTAAATTGATGCAATTCACTAGTCACGTTCGAAAAATCGTTACATTTTTCATAACGAGAGAAAACCTATCGCTTAATCCAAACACAAAAAATTGCTTCCCTGAGAACATTCTAAATTCTAATATTGATATCCAATTACAAAGTTCATTGGTAATGAATTAGCATATATGAGCCATTTTTTTATAACATGATGACATTATATAATCATAAGCAAAAATTAAAGTTAAAAACAAACACTATTAATCCATAAAATGATGAAAATGTCTAATACAACGTAATAGAAATCAACACTACCATGCAAATAATAATCCAAGCTCATTCTATGACCTTAACAAAAGCAATAAAAAAAGAAAGAGACTTTACAAAGAACAAAATGCACTATTCCTAACACACCCGAATTTAACATCATAAGAAGTACTCAAATTACATAGGAAGCAACACATGCAAAAACAAACTGAAGGAAGATCATTTGAGACACCCCAATTGACAAAACAGGATCATGGTGCCCAGAAGACTTTGCATGCTGAGAAAGAGACTCATCTGGAACCATCACCCTCTCAATCATCTTCTGTCCCTTCTCACAATGCCCTGATGCACCACTTACGAAGTAGAAAGTCCCTGAGTGTTCAAACCTGAACACAGTGTTTCCAATGTTGGAAAAGAAAGTTGGGTGAGTGGCATTGCAATCCTTGTAATCTTCCTCACCGACCTCCATCACAGAGTCCTTCTTGTACCTAAAATCTACACAAAAACAAAATAAAAAAGCAAAAAATTAGTTGGTTATTAATATACCCTTTTGTTTCCTTATGAAGAAAAATGTGTTTTTTATATGTTATGTGCATGGGAAAGAGAATACTATATAGGAGAGTGATGAGTTGCATACAAATGGTGTCACCAACATGGAACCTGTTGTGTGAGGCCCAATCATTGTACATGTTTGTGTCATTGGCTGGTGGAACAACCCACCCTTTTGTGTCTCCAACTTGGAACTCACTTGAAGCCACAGAGAAACATTATGGAACAGAGAAAATGGCTAAGAGAAACACAAGTAGACTCATGGAGGAAGAAGAACAAGCCATTGCAAGTATGAGAGAAGGCAAGAGGAGAATAAGTGCACAGAGTTTTTTTTTTTTGGTGAAAGATGCACACTATGGTGTTGTGGAAAGTGGAAACTCTATTGAAATTGGCTAGTTTTAATACATAGATGTTGCATAGAGAAAGTGGCCAAGTTGGATATGCCAGAGTTGGATGAGAAATGGAGGTAGTGGGTGGTTACATTACAGTCCTTAATATATGGAAATGAGGTAATTGCTGATCTTTCGTTCTACTTTGATTGATCTTTAACATTGGAAATTCCATATCCAGCGTGGTACTGAAAGATGTTGGACCATTTTCGAATATGCTTAATTATTTAATTATAGTATACCATTGGTACACAAGTAACAATTAATATATTCTTAAAATGCAATCTAATCAATTAAGGTGCTAACTGGCAAAGAAAAGATTAATTAAAAAAAAATATATTGTTTAAAAATTATGAATAAATGATAAAATAATTAATAAAATTTATTTTTTAAGTTTTGAATATAAATAAAAATATATATCATAAAAACGGAACCGAATACTTTAAATCAAGAACATCAACAGATTAGTGCTCATTTGAACTTGAAGTAGTTTATTTTAAAATAAAAAAGAAGATTTAAAATATAATAATAAATAATAAAAATAATATTTTAATAGCTTCAGCATAATATAACGATGAAATTTGTCCCTTATTCTTTTTGATAACCAGAATGAAAATATTCACGAAGAGAGGTATAGATTTGAATAACTAACGTCACCTTTCAAATCACAATCATCAATAAATTATGTATTTGAAGTAATTTATTTTAAAATTTTAAAAACTAGTAATTTTTTAATTTTGGAATAAAACTTTTTGAAAAAAACACCATTGTTCCTTTAAAATTAAACTTTTCCATATATTAAGAGTTAATACGCTGATTGGCTTACAATTACCTCATTTGAGCTTTGGATTTGATAATTAATTTGACTTGGTCATTTGGGTCTATCATATAGGAAATTTGGTTGGAAAATATAGATATATTCAAGCAGAAAAAAGAAGAAAAAAATCTGCTATCACGACTGATTTTACGGTACTTAGTTTTTTTTTCCTTGCTTTCTTTGGGAATTTATAATTTACCAAAATTTTGTTTTTTAAAGGTGCTACTTTTATTCCATTTCAAAAGCATGCAAAGCACGTGGAGAATGTTCACTTCATGTATTGGTCAGAGGTGACAGATTATTCTTGGTAGTTTTGTTAAAAGACTCTTTAATCTCATGAGTAAAACGGGAAAACGTACAATTTTATTATATCTATATAATATATGAATACTATTATTATATCTATATAACATTTGTATTATATCTAACAACATCTAGTCATTGGTATAGCACTAAACAAAAGCACACAAAGGGGAAATGGATTGAAGACTATACACGATATGACAGAACAATGATTATTTTGTCATGTTTGACAAAAAAGTTTACCAAACTACTATGTCAACAGTAAATTTTGTCAAAATGCCACGCAACATATTTCGCTACACTGTGTAGCGAAATATGCCATGTCAGGTTGCACAGTCAGCAAAAATGACACGTGTCAAGCAGGCAGAATTCAAGCATAATTCGCTACACAGTGTAGCAAATTTCTGCCTGCTTGACACGTGTCATTTTTGCTGACTGTGCAGCCTGATATGAAATATTTCGCTACACTGTGTAGCGAATTACTTGCAAACATATTTCGCTACATAGTGTAGCAAAATATGCCGCGTGGCATTTTGGCAAAATTTACTGTTGGCGTGGCAGTCTGGTAAATTTTTCTGCCAAGTGTGACAAAATGGTCACTCATCCCGATATGACACATTGTTTTACAGGATAATATATATATATATATATATATATAACATGATATTCTTATGAAATTTCCAAATCTCTTGCATGTTCAGACTCTTGATCAGAATCGGCATTAGTTCTTGTGCCTTTGAAGGATTTCAAACTAATAATTCGACGAAAAGCACTTTTTGATCTGATTATTTTTGAAGCTCCATGCTTGTCAGCAAGCTCATTAGACAATATTTTTACAAGATAATCGAAGCGCCGCTTGTAGGTTGGGAACCTTGTGATAAATTTGGTGATCCGTTGGAGCCTGTGTAATAGATATGAAACTAAAATCAAAGGAGAATAAAATATATAAATAATCATTTTCTATTAAATCCCGACTAGTAAGGATAGGAGTGAGGATAATTCTTATACGCAGTCTTATTAAAAGTAACTAACATGATTTGGTCCGATAGATATATACCTTCTAGCCAATGCATCAAGTTCAGCAAGTTTGATGTCAGATTCAGGTGCTGTGCCAATAAGTGAATTTTTTACCCTATTGGGATCACCACTCAAGAGAACCAATTTGCAAAGTTAATCCTCTTCTGACACAGAAAGATTCACTGCTTTGATTTGTTCTTTAATAATCAAAAGGGGATTAAGGAACCATTCAAAAAAATTCTCCTTTGGTCTGTTTGTGGTAGTTAGTTCAATATCATCACCTGTATTAAGGAAGCAAGCAAAATGATTTCATCAAGATGATTAAAAGCAAATAATCTTGAAAATCAGAAGCAAAAGGGGCAGCAAGTGTTCCACTTACTTATCAATATACCAGAGCCCAGAGGAATTGGCTTTTGCAGAACACAAGAGTGCTTGGAGAAGGCAATATGTTGGTAAACCAATAGTAATGACTCTACTCCCTTTACCAGACATAGCTTCTTGTATGTCTTCATGTGTTATTAGTCTTACAGAAACTAGTGTTTCTCCCACCTTATGATATTTCTTGAACAAGCCCTCCAACAGCTACACAAGTTATGAACAGTGTTTATTTAGTAGAGCCCCCAAAGCATGATGCAAAACATGAACAAAAAAAGAGTAATATGTGAGTCATGTGTCATTGGACACAAAATATTAAAAAGAATACCTCAAGTTCTTGAGAAGGAATTTGAATGGGTAGCTGTCACTGACATTTCAGCCTTTTTTCGATATTGAGGTCTTCCAAACACAAATCAAGAGCATTAATTGCAGGTCACTCAACAACATGTATCAAGAAGCACTGCAGAATAAAACCTTGGGATGCAGGATCCTTCTGTCATGTCAAGAATATCATTGTTGTATTCATCATAAAAGGACAAAGCTGCAACAATGTACCGAAGGCCCAACAAGAAAGAAGACTCCTGCATTTCACAGAACAAATAAACATATCTCATGCCTAAGAGAAATTAATGCATCAATAGTTTCAATATACTTTCAAGGTGTTATGGCTTTATCATGCAAGATGTTAGTTGAAAGGCATTCTTGAAGCTTACTTTCAAGGTGTTTTGAAATTTCAAACTTCTCCTACACTCTCTAAGTGTCAACTCTTTAAGGCTCACATCTTGCCTCTCAAATGAGTTGAGTACAAACTCAGAAAACGCACTCACCTTTTACACGAGTGGTATTGCCTATGATGAACTAGGAATTGGTGCTGAAATTTGTCCAGAGACAGTAACTGTTGAAAACTTATTTTTTATCCTTATCCCCAATTTTTCCTACAATTCACCATCAGTCTGTCTTTGGAATAAGAATCAGTCTAGATAATCATAGGAACAGTCGAGTAAGCCACCCACCAAAATGCTATGTATTTCACTCATTAGAAAATTGTTATCTAACTCTAACCCAAACATAACATAATAGGCTATGGTAACAATTGTATTTATGAGTACTGAAAACTTATATGAGGATTTACCTGATAAGCAACAAGACCTGCATAGGTACCGGGAAAGATACTAGCTACCACAGATGCCAGAACTGCCCCAATAACTGACAGTGGCCACAGAAGGATAACAAGGCCTGCAAAAGGCACACATATTGTCTCCAAGAAAGGGCCTTCACGACCTATGAGATCATGAAACAAATGATTCCACCCTTTAAAAAGCATGTAAGGACCTTTGCATATGGCAACAAATGATACAATTGGCATATCAACTACGATTCCGAGAACTGCAGCTACAACAGCACCATGGAGATAATGCAGCCTGCATCAAAACAGAGAAAAGAAACATCATTAAAATTTCACAACAGACCATCATATAATCAGAAAACATCATATGAAATATGGAATATCATGAGTCTTGTTTATTTGGAAGAAGAAAATTTTGAAGCTAAAATTTTGTTTTGCTTTGAAGTTCCCAAAATCTACCAGTACGTCTTACTTATTTGACTTTCAAAGACACATTTTTGGATAATCTTTTGTTAAATCTAGCATAGACCACAGATACAACTAAAACATAAAATGCAAAAGAAAGAATAAAAGAGAAACAATTTAGTTTCACTTGCTTAGCCAAATTGGTAAGGAAGCAAATTTAGGAAACAACAGTTTTCATACTGGTCATAATAGTTTCCGTACATCAGATTTTACTTGTTAATTGGAACTTCATATCCCATGAAAAGAGTTGTCATTCTCAAAGATCATACCTAGTAATAATGCCTTCTGTCAATATTTTCTATGACTTGCAATTATGTTTGGCATGCAAATGATGCATGATTAAAATCACCAGACCAACACAGAAGCAACTTATAAGTTTATGTCACGTTATAAATAGCAACATTTCTCGTTTTCTTTTACTCTTCCCATTCCATTTTTAAGGACTAATAACATATGACTTTCAAAAACTAATATCACTTAAGCTATTAATATTTCTTTTTCTTTTTTCTTTTGTTTGTTTTACACTTCTCATAACTATATAACTTTTTAGTTTTTTAATTATCCTTCAGTAGTTTCAAGGGGTTTTTTAACCTTTTAATTTAAAATTTTAAAAAAAATTATTTATGGAACTAATGTAATTGTATCATGTTAGGGTTAACGTGACTCAATCAGTAGGGTTAACGTGACACAAAAAAAATTATTTTGTGTACCTTTTCAATTGTT